AATTACCATTATAATTCAATTATGTATATATTTATATATGTATATGTGTATATATGAGTTTGTATTCATGTACTTATGTGCTATACATTTAATTGATATGTTTGATATTGAAATAATGTATTTAATCATTATTTTAAATTTTATCCCTGTTATAAACACTATTGTTTCTTGGGATTAATAAAGATTATTATTATTAAACGGTGTTATTGTAACATGCTTTACTGATCACAAAATTAAATGTAGAAGAAACTCCATTTTTTTGCTAGTTATGTTGGTAATAGTGTGTCTCTTAAATTGATTATTTGTATCTGATTGAAGCTAGATGAACTTCTTATCATTGGGATTGACATTGCCAAATTGCCAAAGGATATTTACAATAGTAACACAGAAAGGACATTTTTTAGAAGAGTTCAACACCCTGTATCTTGGAAGCAATGCATTTCCGGACCCATGTTTACATAAACTTTTTTTCATACAATTAACTCTTGAGCAAGCTCTTACATCATTTTTATCAAAATTAGGAACACTCCGTATATTTTTGGTGAATAAAATCACAGAATAAACCTGCTGATATCATACCCTGATTCTTGATTGAAGAAGTTGAAAGGTGCATTTCAAATTACCAAAATACCAGATTATTTTGAGCAACTTCTAATAATTTCTGTTGCGATGAAATGGTTTATTTTATGAAAAATTATTGATTTCTTGAGGATTTTTCAAGTGATTTGGAATGTTACTCTTCTTCTTCTTCTCGTTCAAAATATTATTCTTCCTAAGAATAATAATAATCTTTCGGATCACATACAACATGTTATAAGATACGTCACAAATAAAAACCATGTGATGGTAGACACATTGACAATGAACAATATCAATATCAAAATATCACTATTTAATAGATTCGTAACTACACATAGTTTGCTTCAAATCAAAATTGAAAAAAAATATTGCTAACTTAAAGTGTATACTTTTTCACTCAATTTCACTCAATATTTTAGATTGGAAAGGGTTTATTTTTCGAAGAGAAGAATTTTTTGAAAAGAAAGGTTTTGGATTTTTACATTTCCATTTTTATACATGAAGCAATCAGTTTCAAAAATTACCTTTTTACAATGATGTAGATCATGCCAAGAAGTAACTTTCAGACACAAACTGGAAGAAAAAGACCTCTTGACATAGCTACTTTCACGAAACAAAATCACTTTTGAAAAAAATACTTTTATATGAACACTGAACTATATAAAAAATACTTTAGTTGACATTAGTTATCAGGCCATTCAAAAGAAAATTGTTTTGCATGACTATTTTCTTTCCAGAACGATATTACTTCGTGGTTTTTTTGAAGAAATTAATGACTTAATCTATATTTTGCATATGTTCATCAGTTTTTAAGTACCCATTGTCGTGCATGTACTCCACTGAATGGAAATTCATTTTCAAGCTTTTTTTCCCGTCTGAATGAGTCACCACTTACTTTTTTTTTATCAAGTCGAACACTTCCAGTATATTTATTGAAATAACAATTTAGAAAATACAATACAGTTGTAAATTCTTATCCTATGTGAATACAATCTTCTAACATTCTGTTATGTACACTGAAATATTATTAACTCAATTCGAAACAACTGTTTTCAAACTACATATTCGTACCTTAGAAGCAAAACCTATATTGTTTTTGTCTTCCCAATACTCACATCTATTGAACAAAATGTATATTCAATAATAATGTTTTTATGACTATTGAAATAGAAATGAGCTCTAAAAAATGAATGAAATTATTTTACTGTTCCTTGTTGGTAAAGTACTCAAAATGATCCATAATACACATCTTCGAACCAATCACAATTGACCAGATTCATAACTCACTATTTCTAATAGATGAGCAAATTCATAACTCTACTGTTGTGTTTCAACTATTTTCACGGCGAGTTTGTTCTTCTTCTTACGAAATACTCCAATTCGGAACATTCTCCACGAATGAATCTTTTTTTAGCCCCGAAGAAAAATTTAATTAAATTGGAAACGTCGTTGTCACGAGTAATGTCCACTTTTCTCGCACGTTTATTAATATACTATTGTTTTTTGGCGCAGTATGTTAAATGTAAATACTCTGTAAATAAGGTTACTTTCAATTTTTCTCAAACAATGCTTATTTATTCATCAATTTTATTTTTTCCCTTCACGCGTGGATGCTTTGTTCATTCACTCAAATCGGCCGCCTTGTTGGTCGATGGTTCAAGCCCTAGGCTGAACGATCGATTTTCACTTGTTGTTGTCCAACCCGTGTTAGGAATTACACGTTAAATGGTAAGACCTCGTTAGTCCTTAGCTCGCACAAGTTTCGACTTCTGAGGGTTGTCGTTCGTAGGGGTGCGATAGCTGATTAACGGAAAAAGAGTTCTTATCCATTTTGCACATTCATATTATTGTCATAGCTCTTGCTATCATGTGGACAATTCTTTAATAGTTACCCGAACTGAAATTTTCTCAACGCTGATAAGACTGAGTTATTTCTGTCTTGAATGGACGCTTGTAGCGACTCTACTGTATATTTCAATGTTATTTACCTGCTGGATGGTGCCAGAGTGGTAGCAATTTCTTCGGAACCAAATGGTCATATCGATGGGTCAGATACTTTTTTTGGTTCTCCGTCAATATTCGTTTTGGATATCTACAAAAAATGAATATAGTTGATAATCAATTAAGAAAATAGTATAGATAGTCGGTTGAAATATACCTGATAAAATTCACGGAATTCAATACTTTTGACATTTTGTCAGATTTAACATGTCATGATTTAAAGTCAGAGCACTCGCCTAGATAATTTTGCCAAATTGTTTTGAAAATTATATCGATCCCTTCAAGGAAATATGGCTATTATAGTATATGCAATTTATGTCGAAGATTTATCATAATTTTAATTAAATCATTCCATCATATGGTATCAAAAAATAATGAAGTTGAAACGCAATAAAATAGTTATGTATATATCTTCAACGAATTGTTTTCCGAATATATCGATAAGATTAGGAGTGGATTATCCTTATCATTTCGAAATATATTATATCTGATCGGTACATTGAATATCAATGACTTGCTCAGAGCTTAATGTAGGTTGACATACATCAAGAGACACAGGTATTAGTATGAGGTAAAACTACTATATTGTGTTGACATAGTTATAAAACTAGTATTTCACTATGTAAGAAATTAACAAAAAATTAATAATAATTAAAGGTACGATTTTGTTCCATCCTTTACATGCTTCTCCACCCACAAGCGACTTTGGTGAAATTGGTGACACGTGTGAATCGTTGTATTTGTGCCATGCACCAGTATCTGCATGTGTCTGCAGTATGCTGTATAATGTCCTCTGTTAGTAGTCCCACTGTGATTTAAAAGTGCATATAGATTATAATATTTTCTGAATGAGAAAAGATGTGGCTCTTGATTCGTGGGTTTCATCGGTTACCTTTTTTCCAATTTCATTGATGAAAGATAAGGCTTCAGGGCCAAAAACACCAAACGTTTCAATAGCTATTGGGCGAAAGATATAATTATTTCCCAAATTCTGATATTTCCGTAGTTTGGAACTTTCTCCTAAAGAAGCAGCAGCATCGACTTTCGCAGAAGTAGTTATAGTAGTTATAGGTATTAGTTATAACCCTTGAAAGTTTTGGTAAATGTTAAAAAAGAATAACGATAATAATTTATCGAAGAAAATGTACGAATCGGCCAAATATAATGTTTTTTCATAAATATATGCGTGTTATTAACTGCAACTTGACGGTTTCTAGCGTATTTATTTATTTCAAATTTCGAAACACAAATCTCATTTGGGATTGATATTGTGACAAATTCACGATTAAAACTGATTAAAATAGTTTGAAAGAAAGTTATGAATTGTATATTTGAACCAAATCATCAGTTTGTCCATGAAGGTTTCCGTTTTTACCTGCTTTTAAAGTTGAATACCTAAGAATTTTTTTATAGGTACTAAACTATATGAAATAGCGGACTACCACAGTGCATAGTAAACTTCAAGCAGACATTCTCGTTCCTGCATGTTGAACCAAAAATCCTGTTCTTTTCCAGCCAGACGTGGTACGTCCAGCTCACACAAATTAGCATGGAATAAAATTGCAGCAGTTTCTACAGATACCACTATATTGAAAATCTGTATTCTTTCGTGCTTAGTCTATTCATGTGGCGACATTCCGACTTCCGACTTTCTGTATAATTGAAAAATAATTTTTAACGTAATGTACGTGCATCTGCTTATTACGGAAAATGTCAGTTTCAATTTCACATTCATTGACATGACGCAACATTTTTTATTTTCCTGCATTTTGCCATAAATGGCCATTACGAAACTTTCTCACTCGTTGGTTCGATGGAGCAACAACTTGAATAATTTCTATGACGTAGGACAGTTCGCAATGGAAATGATCATATTTACTAGGAAGAATGGTCATAGATATCTTTTCCACAATATTCGAACAAATTTGATAACTAGTTAAAGGATTCCAGTCAGGCTCCAATAATTTTTCTTATTTAGGTATATTTCGCTGATATTTTTGATACTTTCGTACTTTGAATTTTTAGAAGGCTTAAAGTAACCTTTTAAGTGCTCTTTTGATTCACACATTTCTATATTTTTATCACAAAGCTAATGTGATTGTGATCACAACTTTCAGATTGACAGGCTTATTTATTTTGATCTTTGATCTTCACTTCTAGAATATTGAGTTTTTTCTGCGGTACTATCTATTTGGTAACCAGGGCCGGCCTTAGAGCTTTTGGCGTCTAGCATTTTACCTCAGCGACATCTACTGTTGAAACATTTGCCAATATAACGAACAAAAATATTCAAATGCTAATTACTTAAATGCTCCATTCCATTTTTTATATTATATTTATCGAAACTTCTCATTAAACATAAGTAGTGAATAACCATAATATTTATGTGCTAATTCCTCAATAATTTTACCAAATATTTGCATTAACCTCTATACAATTACATTTTCTGCCCTGTTGATTTANTAAAGATTGACAAAATTGTATTTCAAAGTCAGCTGATGTTTTTCTTATTTGTTAATAACAGGAATATCAAAACATTATTTAACTAAATTTCTAATGATGGTGAAATTTGTATTGAAACATTCATTATTGATGTTTATAATTTAAGATCTTAAGTGATGTATTGCAATAACTAACTGGAAAACATTCTTAATATTTTATTTTTCATTATGTCAAATTACGAGTAGTTCCTGTCATAATATGTTCTTTTATGCATATTATTTGTAGAAAATAATTTCGCTGTTTCACATCAGTCATTCCAATGTACTTGTTTGCCAAAATATTATCTATTTACTTCTCTCAATTGACTCGTTTATATAACCGATGTTCGATATTAATACAAAAATAGTTATTGAATAATTGTGAGTGAATTTATCCACGATATAATTAGTTGATTTTTCAGGCGTTAAATTGTTTTCATTTCGCTGTTTCGCTAATCATTATTTTCCGTTCCGATTACTTTTAGAAACGTTATCGTTCTGTCACCTATTTGGTTGTGCTAAGTAGGCAAAAAAACATTCAATGAACTAATGGAAATTAAACAAATATTTATTGAAACGCAAAACGAGTCAGAATTGTGCAGTTCTGAGACGTGCTAGGCTTCAGTAGGTAGTAGATAGATTCATTTACTAAAAATTGTAATCAGTAACCGTAATCAAAAAGTTTGCAATAAAAAAAGAGCTAAGAAACTCTACAGATACTTATCTTATTATTTCGGAGGCTAAAATATGTCCATGTTAAGTTCTTCACTACAGGTTTTATATTTTTTATATTGTGGCTGTTTGATTACTTTATTACTTTCAGTTTGTCAAAAGTTGAGGTTTATTTTCACGCACGATCTTCAGTTGTAAAAAAATACCTCAACCAAGTATCTCTATAGACCATTCAGAGGAGCTGTTGAAAATGCCATTAAAACCGTAAGATCCTGTTCAAATTGGGAATTTGCACTTCAGAGTAAATTGATTTCGCAAGGTTTAAAGTCCATTCTTAATTAATTAAAGGATTACCATGCATTGTTTCACCAAAAAATTTAGTCAAATTATGTCTAGTCGTTCTTTGGGAATGTGGCTGAAACTAATCAGCCTGAGAATATAAACTAAATTCATGCGTCTAGTTATCACTCTCAATTAGCATTCTGTATATGAATTCGTTATAGGTTGCCATTTTTTATGATGGTNTAGTTGAGTTTCGAGTTGTTTTCTTCCTCTATGGTGAAAATCAGTTTTTGATTTATTTCGTTAATATCCTTTGTTATTTGATCTATTCTTATTCCATTGTTTTGTGATATGTACAGTCCATCGTCAACGTATCTGAACCATTCTCCTTTTTCTTCATGTGTTTTTATTATTGTTGAGATTTTCTCATCTATGGTTTGCAGGTATATTTTGGATATAATGCTAGATAGTGGGGATCCCATCGCTAGTCCATCTAGTCTACTTTCTACCTGTGCATAATTGCCACAACTTATCAGCACTCAAAATTTCTTTTATATTCCTAAATTGATAAGCAATTGTGTGAAGTTTGGAAACAAAATCCTCGCAGTGAGAAACTTCGTTCTTGTGACATTAGTGGAGATCATAGGAGAAACAAATGAGATATATTCACAAGTTCTCAGGGGGCTATGCAATCTAAGGCAATATTTAGGAAAAGAAGGTTCGCCAAGAACCAATTATTTATCAAGTATAAAGTTTCGTCACAGTTTCTCGTTATGAAACTTTCTCGGGTGTTGGAAATTATAAGTGAGGTGTCATTTGCGTACATAGTGAAGGATGCTGACACACGGAGCTTGAAAATCTTGTTGATGTAAATTATGATTAACAAAGGGCCAAGTACTGATCCTTGTGGGACACTTTTTTTTTCAATTGATTGTTTCCTTCTTTCTTTTGGAAGATTACCACATTGCTTTCGCAGACAGGTGGAGAAGTAGAAAGCCAAAAACTTTCTTTCACGATTCTGTGAATATTACGCAGAGAGTGTATGCACTTATATGAGGTCACAACATCGAAAGTCAATTTCTGAAATATTTCGTCAGAAAAATCACGAACGAACTTTCTCAAGACACCAAAATTAAAAGTTGGTTCCAATTTTGTACCCCGATAATTAGATTGAAATGTCCTGATGCATGACCATGTATCATTAACAATCAGAAATAGATTTGTGAAATAAGCGTTTTTTGAGATTCTACATTTTCTTAGGTATCAATAATTATTTTAAATGATCAGATCATCCAACAAGGTTTTTCGATTTTTGTAGGGGATAGTCTAATTCACATGTACTTTTTTTTGTAACATTTTTCAGCCCTGTCCAAAAATTACGACCAAGGTGTCATTTGATTCGTTTTTTGGCCTAGAAAGTTTAAGGAAAGGTCCGAAAACGCGCCGATAAAAATTACAAAAATTATAAACAATTAAGTGAAAAAAATTTTTAATGAATAAACACCTCAGGAACCTCCGCCTATGATTTTACGAGTTTTACGACCGTTTTATGACTTGGGCCCTCATTTTGTGCTATCGACAAATTATGAACGGACTATAGTGATGCTTGGTGTTGTCGAAATACAACCCGTACTGAGCTGTCAAGCTCTCTTGATAGAGAAAAACCGCATAACTGTAAAAGAAATTGGAAAGTAGGAATTAAATGGAATAAAGAATATTTATTTCACCACTGTTAACTAAATAATAAATATCGTCTGTGTTTGATCGCAACACAATGTCTACCTGTGGGTGATGATTAAATTTGAGCATTTCTTGAGGTTTCCTATTAGTCAGTGGGCTATGCTTGAAGACTGGCAGTAAACAAATCTAATCTAAATTATTCAGAGGAATCGGGCAAAT